CTTTTAGTCTTCTTGTGTGTTTTGCATCATTGTTCTAAGTTTCATACATAATTAAGACCTTTGTGTCTTCAAGTTACTCTTTTGTTATGATGAGAGCCTCTCTTCCTCTCCAGCAATGCTTCTTCCTTCTAATGTTTTTCTGATGCACGTGGAGCTGCGTTGTCCTCAGTCCACACCAACGTCACACATTTTGCCATCTTTTTTTTTCCTACAAACTTTTTTTTGTCCTTGTTTTGGAGTGGGAGCTTGTGTAATCAGTACTTTTTTTTTGTTTTTTGAATCCAGTTTCCCTGTCTTTGTCTTTTAATTTAGGTGGCCCTGATTGCCTTTGGTCACCACAGCCTGAGGACCACTTCCTTCTCAGGAATCCTCTGCAGCATGGACTAGAAGCTGCGTCTCCCGGCATCTCTCTTTGTTTTGCTGGGGACGGAACCCAGGGCCTCACTGGGTCCTAGGCGAGGGCWCTGCCACTGAGCCAAACCCAGCCCCACAATCTCCCTTCCTATGTGATCCCAGGACAGAATTTTCCAAATAGAACCCCCTGTGGAAGGCAGGAGGGAAGGAGATGCCCTTATCCTCTGGAAGAAGTTCCCACATTTGAGGTGGGGGCAAGATGTGATCTCTCGCTCCTGAGGTCTGAGGCCCCTGTGGAGACCCGGACTCAATCATGAACTTCCTCGACTCCTGGCCCTGCTCCCGGCTTCCCTAGGGCCGCTGCAGGCCAGCTGGCTCCCCTCGAGGAACACACTCTCCAGGGTCTCAGCTTTAACCCTGGATGCCAACTGGGGTCCCTCTTTGTGGAATTCAGTCTCCATTTTCCTCTCCTAAGTGCTGTGAGATCAGCCAGGTTTCAGGCTCCCTTTCTCTCCCATGTGCTTCGTTACTGCCCTGCCCATGTACTGTCCAGACAACGCCACAGGCTCCAGAGAGAACCATGTTCTGACACATTTTTGTCCACCCAGCCCGGAGACCCTGCTGCAAGCTCTAGGCTTCTGCTCTTGGGTTAGTCTCCCAGCCCTTCAGCGTGAATCACCAATGTCCTCSGAGAGAGTTGGTGGCAGAAGTGGGATTCCCCTGGTGCGAGTCCAGGGTCTCTAGGACCACTGCCCTTGTGGCAGCCACGGCTGCTTTCTGAGGGCTTGTGACGGCTCTCCTCTACGCTCTGCCCCACTCKGGATGCGCCGAAACTCGGCTTCCTGGGCACAGGAGTCTCCCTGCGTTTGGCTGAGGAAGGTCCCACCAACGGTTGGTACTGCCACCTGTTGACGTGACCTGCTCATGGCACCCTCAGCATTCTGTGTCTTGGGGAGCAAGCTGCAGGCATGGCCTTCCTTGGCCATGCAGGGCTGGGCGCTGCAGGGCTGGTGCTCCCGTTCACCCCTTTGCCTTGAGCCTCCCCCCAGCAGGTGCCTGGAGACGGTAGATATGGGCTGCGCAGGGTGGGCTCCGTGCCCACCCCCTGCCTTCACTGCAGAGCCCCTCATGCAGCACCTCTCCTCAGGASGGGGCCTGTTGTCTTCTACCTCTGGCTGCAGTTCATGATGCTTAACAATCAGTACACGCCCTGGACCTCAACGAGAAGCAGAAGGACATGCCTGAGGGGCCTGGCAGAGGGAGTTTGATCCCTTTCAAAAATTTCTTAGAATGGGCTACTGTAAAGACTGGACAGTGGTCCACGATTCACACTTATCATGGTGAGTTTTCAAAACATGAATAGGAACGCATGAACTGACCTGCCGTGTCACAAACCTGAAAGGCTCGTGGGACGAGTTTTCGTTTGTGTCTGCGGGGAGGGACTGGGAGGTTCCACTTTCCTCCTCCTTTCCTCCTGCCTTCCTTCATCACCCAAATCTTGGGTCTCGAAACCGAATTGTCAGTCAAATTTTATGTCAGTCAAATTCCATTTCTGTCACAGGATAAGACACGTAAAGCTTGTGTCACATGTTAGTTAAGAATGTAGATGGGCTTGGGCCCTGCTCTGCCACCCAGGCCGTGGCCTGGGAAAGGACCTGTACCAGGGTTCACATCTCCTTGGGGATAACACGCCCATAACTAGAGGGTGTTGAACACTGGTCTTGGCACAGAGTGGTGGCTCATTAACTGGGCTTATTTATTTTTTTAGTGATTATAGCCATTGCTGTTTCTTTTTTCAGACTCTCACWTTTCTGAAAAGCCAAGAGAGGGCCTATGGGTACCTGAGTAACGACTGTGGACAGATAGGTGGGAAGAGAGGGCAGGGGAGTGCAGCCACCGCCCAGCAGCACAGTGACCCCAGTACCTTGTGGTCTCTCTTCTTGTTCCAACCTTGGCATGTGGTGCAGGGCCAGGCACGTGGTGTGTCAGGTGACAYTGAAGAGACAGGGCCCTTGTATTTCACAACTTGCACGGGGAGCAAGATTGTCCATACGAGTGGGCTCTGTGTGTGGGGTCTTCTGCTGCAGACTGGTGTCCTTGGGGAAAGCCGAAGCCATTCCTGGGATGCACGTACCCCTGACACCTGTGGCYTTATTTGCAGAAGGCACTGACACACATCTTCGGGAATACACAGACTGTGGACTGTGTGGTCCACAGTCATCCAGTGAGGATCCACGTTCACAAAGGCAGGAGAGAGGGCTCGGTGGGTGGGTGGAGCGGGTGTGAGCGCGGAGGGAGACCGAATCCTTGAGGCTGATCCAGTTTGCTTTAGGGTCTGACTATACTGGGGCTGAGTGCCCTGCCTGAGCAAGCTCGTTTTTGTTTTAAGATTGCTTCTCCAAGAAGGAAACAGAGTCGCTGCTGCTGGGGACGGTAGCCCCTCACGCCAGCTGTCGGGAGAGTCCCATAATGACTGCAGCATCTGCTCCTCCAGGCACATCCTGTGCACACAGAAGACAYAGCAGCTGCTGCTCAGGGCTGGTGAGAACGGGGGCCGGGGAAGTGACAGCTGATGGGCACAGGGCTTCTCCTTGGGGTGATGGAYATGTTCTATACCCGAGGCTGTGCTAGATGCCCTGCTTTGTGAACAGGCTAGAAACACMGAGTTGGATACCACCCTGGTGGGTTTCATGGCATGGGAATTACGTCTCCATAAAACTGTTATGGAAAAACAAGTCTCGTTCTCCCAAACCAGTGGGCAGCAACGACGATCCTGCCCAGACCCTGAACAAMTGACCACAGCTTGGAAGGAAAGTGAGAGACCAACCCTGCCTCCCRCAGGCTGCCTGGTGGGGCTTCCCTCCCACTTCCAGGTCCGGGGTGGGGGTGGGGGGCAAAGTGCAGGCCTCAGGACCAGCAGCACCAGCTGCACCTTGGAAGGTGTTAACAAGTCTCCCCGGTGCTACCCAATCAGAAAGTGGCGCCAGGCTTGCTGCCCTGCTTCACAGAGCCCTGCTGTGATGGGGATGGGGTGGGATGGAGGTGGTGGTGAGTGCGGGGACCACAGGTCCTTGATTAGCGACCACCCTGGATCTTTCAGGAAGCAGAGGGGAAAAGGTAAATGCACCCGTCCCCTCTGGCCCAGCAGCTGCATTCCCCAGCGAGAACCGAGTGACACAAGAAACACCCCAGGAGAYGCTGAGCAGTCAAGCCACCGGAAACATTTTAATGACAACTGGCATCACAGGTATAAATAAATAGCTTCTTTCCGTTTATAATATGTGCTACAAATATATTTTTCAAAGGTCCAACTAAGCCTCAGAGGCTTCCAGGACCCTTTCCCAGCTACTGACTTTAGTAATAATAGTAATAATAATGATAAAAAAAACCCACCAGAAACCATCCCTGGCATCTCTGTGAGCGTCTCCCTGCTGGGAGCATTAAGCTCTGTCCCCTCCACAGCTCTGAACAGAGAGTCACAAAGGTGGTCTTTTCACCCCGTGCAGGTCTTCTCAGCCATGTGCCTGTCACTTTGGATGAATGTGTTTTGTGGTGTGCGGCTAACGGTGATGCTACTCAAGAGCACAGCTGAGGGACATCAGACACAGGGYGCGTCTTCCGAGTTTATGCTGGTGTACCCTGCCCGGCAAAGTCAGAAAAGCAGCTTAAATCCCCCCCAAACACTTCTCATCTTGGGTCATTTTTCAACATTGGCTGTGCCTGGTGACAGACCCACCCCGAAAGTTGACACCGATTCCACCTGGGTACAGCCTCTCTGGGGTTTGACCCAACCTCCCCACCGGGCAGGCACTCTGTGTGGTGGGTGGTCCGGGCTGGGCTCCGTCCTGCTGAACGGGACCCACTCCCGGGCCTTGACCCTGTGATGGCGGTGGTGGGGTCACTGAAGGCGTAGAGAGCTTTTCCTAATTGTAAAGTCCCAGCGAAGCCGGAGGGAGACGAGAAAGCTCGACAGTCACAGGGCGAGGAGTGGAGGGATGGACATCGTTGCCGAAAAGCTGTCTGACGAAGAGAATATAATTTATATTTCATTTAGGAAAAATATACCACGCGATCCTCAGAGATCAGCGTTAAATATAAATCAAGTGTGAGTCTAGGCCGTAAAAAGGAAATGTGCAAGAGGAAAGAGGAGGCCACTGTTGGAATGTCCAGGTCCTCAGTTCTGCCCGGAGTCCACGTCGGCAAGGAGAAGGTCTCTTCCCTGGCCAGGCGACGTGGACCTCGGAGGCAGGGCCTCCTCTTGGAAGACCCTACTTTTGTATTCTGCTTCTTTATTAGAAATATAAACAGAGTACGATCTGTCTCTTTTTGTCTGTCGTTTTGCATTTTTTAACAAATCATTTTTGGTAGCTCGTGGGTGTCCGTAAGACAACATCGCCGTGGGGCGTGGCAGGCCTCAGCACTCCCATCTGTCCCTTGCTCCCAGAACAGGGGAACCGACTTTCCAAAATCCACCGTCATCAACTGCTAAAAARTTCTTGATACAAAAATGTCCTTCCCAGCTTCAGAACTTCCCACTGGGCCTGGGGGGAGCCCAGCCCAGCCCCACTCAACCTCTCAGGATGCCCTCTGCCCACTGGGGCTGGTGTCCCCCGACCCCGGGGTCTGAAGGCCCTTGGCCACAGGACTTAGGCCTTCTCCTGGAATTTCTCCAGATAGTTTCTGAGCTCCTTGGGGGCACCCACCTCCACATCCTGGCACACCCACTGGATCTCCTCCTGGCCACCCAGGATGGAGTTCACAGTGGGGCAGCCGCCGTCGGTGGGGATGGTGGTGAAGGTGGCGAACTTCACCTTCTTCCGCTTGGAGGTGGGCGAGTGCGGGGGCTCCGGCTTCTGTGCCTTGCCTGGCCTCCCTGGGTCCGTGGGCCTGCGCACCTGGCTCTGCACCTGCTTCTGGGAGCCCCCGTTGAGGAGCAGGTGGTCGCCCTCCTCGTGGCCCCCCGGCCCGCGGTCAATGACCGTGGTGTGCTCGTCCTGGGGCGGGGCCGGGTCCCCGACGCTCTCCAGGAGCTCGGCCTCGTTGCCCAGCCACACCCAGTCGTGGGAGTGGGTCATGGAGGCCTGGCCCTCCAGGGGCACCTGCTTGTGCCTGTACTTGAGGGCAAAGGTGGCACAGTTGATGAGGAAGACCAGGATGGCCAGGCAGAAGACCCCCAGCAGGGCGTACATGCCGATCTCCAGGTCGCTCAGGCCCCGGGGCGTGGGCACCAGGTCGCTCTCTTCCAGCCCGGCCCCCGCCCTGGGCAGGTCCACGTGGGCTGGGAAGTTGGTGAAGTCGATGGGGATGTTCTGCAGCTGCCCCTCCCCGGGCCGCGTGCCCCCATCCAGCCGGCTGCTCTTCCCCACCCTGTTGTCCTGCAGGGACTTGGCCGTGGTGGTGGTGGCCCTCCGCAGGGCCCCTTCCTCCCGCTCCTGGAAACGCTCGTCCTGGCCCTTTTGCCGACGGTCACTGGTGTGGTTCTTGATGTCATCCTCGTCCTTGTCCCCGGTGGGGCTGGTGTCGGCGTCACTCTGTCCAAATTTGACCCTGATGTTGCCGATGCCCACGGCCAGGACACTCTTGCGTTTGGATTTCTGACAGGCCTCGGCGATGGTCATGTCCACTCGGACCAGCGGGCCCTGACCTTCCCCTTCGGCCACCACCATGGGCCACCTGGGAGAGCGGGCGGGGGCAACAGACACCACAGCCTCATCCAGGGAGGTGGCAGCCAGCGAGAAGTCCTGGGTGTCGTAGATGTCCAGGGGTGTCACCGAGCCGTCACTGAACTGTAGCCACGTGCTGACCATGGCTTCCTGCGGGGAGAGAGGCAGTGAGAACCACCTGGGGGAGGCTCTTCTCCTCCAACCACCCACGAGCACGATGCCCCAGACAGGGACCCCAAATCCAGACCCGGTGGCTGACGAATCTGGGGAAGAAAACAGGTTTACGCCAAGGACAGAAAAAAGCACCTGAACTTCAACAAGGACCCTCAGCCCAGCCCTTCCCAGGAGAAGAAGCCAACAGATATGAGTTTCCCGTCTTCACCACTGGCCACCAGACGGGCCTGTTACCTGTGGCAGACCCTTTTATTAGTGGCCAGGTGCTCGTGATAACAAGGCTGCCSAGGGGGGTGGGTGGGAGAACCGTCAGAGCCCCGGGCAATGAACAGGAGCCCCCTCCTCGCTGCACCTGCCCTGTGAGCTGGGGGCACCTTCTGCTCTGCCCTTGAGCCCCCCCAGGAGACGGTCAGTCCACAGCGGTGATGTGCTGAGAGCCAGCTGAGTGCTCTCTGGTGGCCGCTTGGCTGTGCCAGCTTCACTCTGCAGGTTGCTTTTGTGGAATTATCACCGAGGAAAACAGGAAGCTCGGGCCAGAGTGAGGGCTGAGTGGACTGGAAAGACTGGCTGTCTTCCCATCAGTGCRCGAGCAGTGACCCAGAGTTCCCGGAAGGGAGAACAGTCAAGAAAGTTTGAGAATTACCAGCTCGCAGGTCACGCCCCCACCTCCAGTCCAAACGCACATGTGGCAGAGGTTCAGTAAGCAGAAGCATCCCACCCACCTCCTCCCTGGACAAGTAGACACAGCTAACAGCCCAGGCCAGGCTGGATGCACTTGGCTGCAGAGACTGTGCCTCCCAGGTGGGGACTCCCTGGGCAGACACGTGGGGACCAAGCCGCCATTAGCTAGGATGGAGCTTGGGTGCCCCTGGGGCAGGGTGTGAAGAGGTGGGTGGGGAGAGCTGATGTCCAGCTCTGCCCTGAGGGGGCCAAGTGCCCTCACGGTCATTGCTTCTTTTTCACAGTTATGCACCCTACTTGGTGACAGATTGGCAAAGAGAGATAACAGTGGGGTGGCGGGGGCAGAGCAGGGCTGGTGGCAGAGGCACCATGAGCTGCGGGATCGCAGCTGGGCCTAAGCATCGGGCAGAGAGATGCTCGGGGGAAGGCCAGRGCTGCATGTCCCAGGCCAGAGGAACAGCAGGGAGGGCTCTGGGAAGCTCAAGAAGAGGGCGTGTGACACACAGCAGGGAGGCCGGGAGGGCAGATGCCATCAGAGGCCCAGYGTGGGGGCCTGTGGGCTGCGAGGGAACATGGCCTCTTTAGGTCAGTGGGAAGTCCCCTGCCTCAGTTTTAGCCCTAGAAGGACGTGATCGGACCCACGGTTTCAGAGGCTCACTGTGCCCGCAGCAGACGGGAGGGTGGACGAAGAGCATGGCCAGTCCCCCCTGGGAGGGCTGCAGATGGACTCGCTCCTGGTCGGGTTCCACAGGCTGGCGGGGAGTCGAGTGCTTCAGTGCTCAGGACTTGACCTCTGCGCTGACCTGCTGCAGCTGAACAGTCCCCTCTCAGGTGCATGGCCCGCCCTCCGCCAGGTCCTACCTGTTTGGGGGTGCGTAGCAGGTCCTCGGCGGTGGCCACGGCYGTGATGGCCTTGCTGTGCTCGGCGTTGGGGTGGAGGGACACAGAAAGCCCGGCCACGAGCTGGATGGCCAAGTCCAGCACCGACACTTTGTCCTCCAGCACGGTGACCGTTTTCTCTGCCAGGATGGAGTCAGACAGTGGGGACAGCACCTGTGGGGTTGGCAGGACATGAGGAAAACTCCTCACACAGATGTCAGAAACTCCCCAACTGGGCCTGAGTCCAGAACACAGAGCAAGGGAGTCCCGTGCCCATCCCACTATCAACGCTGGCCCATACTGTGGCTTAGGGGGGAATCAGATAGCCATCCCTTCCCCAAGCAATTTTAGTTCTATTTGTTGGAAAATTGAAATAAATATTAAAATCCAGTATGTCTTTAAAAGAGAATGACCCCTCCCAGTTCGAAGAGGTGCCCTGTACCATGCACAACCTGGTTAACTGTATCGGGTGATCCTGTTGACTCAACTCGTGAAGCGTTGCGCATTAACTGACTTTGCGCAGCCTGAGTCRAATTTTGAATGAAGTATGGAGTCAACTGGGAAGAACTGGAATAAAACAGTCCACACCTGCTGGGACACTGGTTTCTCCCCCTCCTATAAGCTCCACGGGGTGGAGAAGTCCAGGGGAGATGGCGGACTGTACCAGTCACTTCCACACATGGTTTAAAGATCAAGAAAGACATTCCAGAAAGGTGTTGGGCAACGGGGACTTGAGGGATTGAAGCAAAGATTATCCACACCCCATTGTCTGTCCCAAAACACCCTACATGTCTCCTGAAGCAAAAGATGGGGTGTGGACGCTGAAGAGTCAGAGAGCAAATGAAGGGCTGGTGGCCATGTCCAAAAGCAGCAGAGACAGGAACCTGCCGGTTCCAGCTGGCCACTCATAGATGCACAGAGGACACGAAGGTCACCCGAGAGGGGCAGGAAAGGGGACYTGGAGGGGAGCTCCCTGGGGGAGCCTGGGTGGGAGGCAGTGTGGGTGCCTTGGGGTGCCCCAGCAGGTCTGGAGCCCTAGTCACTGGGTGGGCTACCCTTTCTGTCCCTCATGTGGTCCTCTGGAGCCATCGGGGTCCAGGGATTGTCCACGATGACCTGCGCATTGGGAGCCCCCGGCACCACTACCAGGAAGCAGGCTGACGTCCCGAGCCCCCGCTTCCTACCTGGATGGTGGTCATCCCGACCTCCCGCCCGACCAGGATCCTGCCGTCCTGCAGCGTGGCCACGTGRGGCGACTCCAGCTTCATGAAGTCCACCACCAGGGGGGTGATGTCGAACTGCCAGCCGGGGCCCAGCAGGTGGCTTGGCTGGCCCCAGGGGCCGGCCCCTTCGGACACAAACTGGGTGAGGACCCGCACAGTGGCGTGCTGGAACTGCAGGGCACAGCCCCGGCCCCGCCGCTCCTCTTCCTCCTCGTCCTCGCTGTCCCGCGTGGGCCTGAGGGAAAAGAATAGCCGCTCTGGGATCCAGAGGCCTCCCAGAGCCGACATTCTGTACCTGCCCTGGGTCACAGGCATGCCAGTTCAACCCTGGGCAGCACAAAGGGCTGGACACCCTTCCTGGAATGTGTCTATCAGCAGATTAAAGACTTAAGGGCTAACTAAGCACACACTGTGTGTTCACTATCCATCCACCATCTGTGGATATTTAAATGCAAGTTAACACAAATTAATGCATTAAAAGACTCAACTTCTCAGCCGCATGGCAGTCCAAATGCCCCGTGGTTGCCGTACGGGTGGCTACCATATTGGACAGTGTCCTTCTAGGACAGCCCCCTGCTGTAGAAAGTTCTGCTGGACAGAGCTGTTCATGCTCTTGAGGTGGACCAGGCCCCACTGACCCCCTGTGTATAAACTCTCCAATCATCACCCTCTAACTAGCGTTATGTCTAGATGAGGATACAGAGGCACGGAGAGGCCAGGGGTCTGGCTCCACAGCTGGTCCAAAGCAGACCTTCTGTGGATGGGAACGCAGCATGTCCTGGTTCCAAGCGGGACACACCCATTCTCTTGGCCACTCCTGACTACGGTGTGACCTGAAGGACCACTGTCCTCCCCAATCAGGCCGATTTCCCTCAAGCTCTTCTGGGAGGTTTGACTCCCTGTCTGTGCGCTCTTGTTGAGACACACTCTTGCTGTAATCTAATGAAGACTCCTGTGCCTGGGAGTCCCCAGGGACAGTCCTGATGGCCCAGGATGGGGGATTTCAGGCCAGAAGCCAGGACCTCAGCCATGACACCCCCTTAGGCAACACAGCGGAGGGGGTGTCATAGCTCTGAGCCCACTAGACCCCAAGCTCCTGCCAAGGACCCAGAATCACACAGAATAAACCAATTAGAGGCTGTTTGAAACAGTAGCCCTGTGTTCCAGGAGAAACCCAATTAAATTGTATCCAATAATTTGACCTGCACAGAGCACTTCATGCTTAGAGATATTCACAAAGCACAGGAGAGGGCGGATGCTTTCCTTAGAAAATTAAATCAAACCTCAAATTCCCTGGGGCTTGAAGGCCTAGAAAAATGGAGACACTTGTGCTGCCACTTGGAGAACCACTTGCAAGACAGACTCGCCCCAGCCCACGGGCAGCAGGAGGACATCTCGGGCTGGGTGCAGACCCTCTGTTGAGCAGCTGTGGGTCCAGCTCTGGCTGGGCCATCCTGAGCCCTGGCCCCTGCATGGAGCTCTTGTTAGGGTTAGGAGATGTAAGAGTCGTGAGAACATCAGTGCCCACTATGCTCCAGGTCCTGAACCGGCCCCCGTAGAGTTAAAACTGTCCATAAAGCAGYGGTTATCGAGGTTCTCGGATACCTTCTTCACGTCAGGCTCACCTCTTGCTGGCCACGATGGGGACCCTCCAGCCCTTAATCTGGCTGAGCTCGGTGTCAGAGACCTCAATCTGCAGGGGCAGCCGGGGCACCCACACGGTGATGTGCAGGGGGGCGCTCAGGTACTGGTAGGTGAAATTCACTACTGCATCCATCCTGCCCTTGATCTCTTTGCCATTGACAAAGACATAGTCACAGTGGTCGGACACCTGCAGAGACAGAGGGAGTGGGGATGGAGACGTCCACAGGACCCTGCAGACCACCTGTCTTCAGTTCAGTTCATCCCATTTTCTTGGAAAGTACATGGGCTTCGAATCCCTCAGACAAGGACCTGGTACAGATGGTTGCATTAGGAAGTGACCCCAGGGAGCAGGGGTGAAGGTGATAGTTACAACCTCTGGAAGTGAGACGGAGGCTCTGTTTGTGCCATACGAATGAACGGAAAACTGAAATAGAAATACAGCTGCATTACAGGGACACAACATGACTTATCTCATGTAGCTCCTGCATCACCTCCTAAACTGTGACATCCTTCAAGGCAAAGAGTGCATCCTCTTTGTCTTCAGCCCTTGGTTCCTTATACCAGTTGCTCATGAAGCAGGAACTCAGCAGAGTGGATGGTGGGCAGATGGCGGGATGGAGAGAAGGGGGATGGAGGAATAGATGGATGGATAGATAGATGGGTGAGTAGATGAACAGATGGAAAGATGGGTTGGTGAATGGATAAATCAACAGATGGATGGACAGATGGATGGAAGGACAGACAGATTGATGAACAGGTGGGCAAATGGTTGGCTGGCTGGCTGGATGATCAGAGGGATGAATAGATGGAAAGATGGATGAATGAATAGATGGAAGGATGGATGGACAGATGGATGGAGGAAAGAAGGATGATGGATGGAGGGAGGGTTAGATGGATGGACAGCCAGCCAGATGGATGAAAGGAAGGATGGATGGATGGATGAACAGAGCCCTCCCTTCATGGGGATGCCTCAGGACAACCGTAGAGGATTTGGGGTTGAGTGAAGAGGCAGGGAGCCACTGAGATGAGATGGAGGAAAAGCAGTGGAAACATAGGAAGTTAATTTGAAAGCTCTTAGGAAGCCCTCAGGCAGTGTTTTCCGACCTTTCCAGGGTCAGTGACTCCTTCGAGAACACACATAAGCCTAATTTGTGCTGGAGAGGTGGACGTTTGCACAATTGAGCTTAACACTTTGGAGTTAATGAAGTCATCAGGCAGCACTTACCATGCAAAGCTGTAATTGCCGATTTGCTTATCTGTCTCCTAGGCTGCATGCTCTGGGAGGAGCAGATACCCCCAGAGGTCTGGACCCCACCAGATGACCTCTAGTGCTGATTAGTGACCTTCTGTGATCGTTCACCCTCTCCTTCCCCACCTTCTGGGGTGGTGGGTAGCCACTCTGGGCCCGATTTCCATCTTCCATGCACTGTTCTGTTTGCAGAGGCAGCTGGTGAGGGCTGGGCAGAGAGACTTTGCTCCATCTGCTGGGGACAGTGGCAGGGAGCAGCTGGGAGGGACATGTGGACGGGTCCTCTCACCCATGGTCAAGAGCAGAGTGTGTTTCCATGCTGATATGAAGGATGGAAACCAATTTTTGCCACTGTCCCAGGCTGGCCGTTAGGACATCAGCACTGCCCCAGATCTGGACAGCATTAGCATAACGGCCGGGGAGGAGTCACTCCAATAATCTCCTCTCTAATCAATGTTGTAATTTACAGACCACTGGCTTCTTGTCGGTTACCTTTCTGGCGTGGGTGGGAGGGGACCTGGTCTCTGCAGAATATCTAAGCAATTGAGAGGAACAACGGTGGCCCGAGGCTGCCGGGCACGGCAGGGCCCCATCTCGGCTCATGCCCAGGGAGTCCTAACCAATGAGGAGGTCTCCAGGTACCTCGTCACCTCCTACATGGTTGGCTTTGAGGACCACGGTGCCAGAAAGCAAGCAAGTTCTTCTACAGGCAGGAAGCAGCAAGGCCACAGGCATCTTTGTGGTCCCCTGGGGGTGGGCACCGGGGGACTCTGCCGTGTCACATGAGGACTTGGCCCAGGGACAGTCCCGGGAGCTCAGTGCTGTGCAGAAATGCTTGGCCAGTTTCCAGCTGGGACAGCAGTTATACTGCTGGCCCCAACCATGGTCACCATTGCCAAGGCCAAAAGTCCTAGGGAAGAATTTGACCCAAGCCCCAGGAAGCCTCGGGTGGGACGATCCAGGAGCTTCCATCCTTCTGAGCCACTGCGGTATGTACATGCACTGGGATCAGCAGTGTCCCCAAAACCATGCACCCCCTCGACCGCAAGGTGACCTCATCTGGAAACGGGGCCCTTGCAGGTGCAGTCAGTGGGGAGTAGAGGGGGCTCGGCCCACAGGGTGGGCCCTCATGAGGAGCGTGGAGGGAACAGGTGCCAACAGGGAAGGTAGTCCCCTGAAGTGTGGTCCTGGGACAGCAGAGGCTGGTGTCAAGGAGTAAGAAGGGGGCCGAAGAGGGGAGCCCCTTGTAGTCATGTGGGGCACCCCTGCCCTGCAGCCCTGGTTTCTCAGGGGAAGGATGAAGCTCTGCTTCCAGCTGTGAGCAGGTCCACGTGACTGTGGCCTAAACCAATCAGAGCTTATATTCCCCCAGCACAGTGATTGGCTCAGGGTGAACAGGTGACGTACACTGGGGACTTCTCAGGCAAGGCTAGGTAGGCAAAGATGCCTGCTGTCTTCTGTGAGACCTCTGCTTAAAAAGCAGCAGTCTGACAGCAGCTTGCAGCCGTCTTACAACTTGTCTGAGAATTCATTCAACACAGGGGGCACTGAGCCAGGAGATGGAGAGCCACAAATAAAATACTACTTCCTTTTAGCCCCTTGATCCAGCCATCCCTGAAGCCAGGGATCCCTTACACCTCACACATAGAAGCCAAAAAACGTTTCTGCACCTATTTGGCTTAATTCAGTTTGGGTCATGCAGTCTGTTGACCAAAATCATCCCCTCAGACAATATGCCCAGCCCAGTGCCCAGCCCAGGCCCTCCATGTGCTACCCTGCCTATCAGCATCTCAGCACAGAACAAGAGACGAGGCATGAAAGGAATGCCTATCTTCCAACAAGCATTGCATGCTCAAGAGGAATCCTCCAGCCACTCAGAGGGTGAACGTAGGAGGGCGAGAAGCCCCTCTAAGTTCAGCTCAGAGAGSGTATGCATTTGCTGGTTTTCCTGTTCAGCACCTCTGTTTTCTATTTCCTGGGAAAATTGTTTAATTATTTCTGGGGAACTGCTCACGTCCCCATCCCCTAGGTCTTGGTGTCAGGTACGTGGCTGGACACATCATGACAAGTGCTCTTTCCTCCCTGGCCACGGTGACTGGTTCAGAATAGGCGCATGGCTTGGCCTGGCCAAGGACAGGGATCCCAGGACTTCCACCTGGGCCTCCAGGACTTCAAGGCCCAGGACTTGAGCCTGGGGCATCTCTACATGGCATTGAGGATGACATTAACAGTCCAAACAGTGCTGAGAGGGTCAGAGGGATTGTTTCGAGGGTCCCCCGCAGCCACCTGCCCTAGACCTTCACTGATGAGACCGTTTCTCCTTACTAATCCAATGTGAGGGTCTTGGTGGCTCAGCACCTGCTCACTCCATGAAGATACGAAGAGTTGGCATGAGATGCTTCTGAGACCAAAGCCTGGCTCTCAAATTGATCTCAGCAGAGGAGTTGGGGGAGAGCCACCACGGGTGCACTGTTTGCCAGAACTCAGTCTTCCCTGAGGCAAACCAGCCACCCAGGTCCCAGTCTGGACTTGACCCTGGGCATCATGGACCTGGCCAGAAGCTTTTCACCCATGCAAATATCAGCTCCAGGGTCCTGGATGTAGAAACCTCTTTTCCCAGTTAAGCAAATCCAGATGGAGCCTTCCTCAACTCCAGTAAAATCTGGCTCACAAACAAAAGGTCTGATCTTGTGCAAAAGTCTTATATTGGAAGAGCACATTCTCTGTGGCTTGATGGAGGGTCAGAATAATCCTCTCCTTCCTGGACAGCTCCATGTGTATGTTCTTTCCATCAGCCTCTCCCAGGAAAAAATGCCGGCCGCCACTCCTCTAAGGCAAGGTTCTGGGTCTGTGCCTCTCTTAAAGTATCTTAGGTATGTGTGATTTGATATGGCGGCCACTGCCATGTGTGGCCAAAGCCGGGGACCGTGGCTAGAACAACCAAGAGACTGAATCAGCCACTTCATTCAGTGTTAATTTGCTGATGCACACGTAGTCAGTGGTTATCATACTGGACAGCTCAGTAACCTAAAGATCTGTCTGTGGTGTACTCCTCCTCGCCTGAGCCCACAGAGAGCCTGAGACTACAATGGCTTCAAGATCATATGCACCTGGGTTTGATTCTGGACTCTGTTACTTATCAGCTGTGTGACTTTGGAAATTTCTTCAACCTCTCTGGGTTTCAGTTTCCTCAAAATGAAACTTACAACAGTCCCCACTTTGCACTTGCCAGAGTGATCAACTTGCAGTTTAAACCAGAATATCTTCCAGTGTCCTGTTGCTCTTAGAATAAAATGAAAGTCTGGCCCCAGCTTGACACCTCTGACTTTGTGCCCCCTCAGTGTCCCCTTAGGTCCTCACCCACACTCCTCCATCTTGACTGACTTTCTGGGGGACAGCCAGCTTGCTCACCCCCTAGGGTCTTTTCCCATGCGGTTCCTGCTGCTTAGAAGACTGTTCCAAGCTGTTGGCCYGCGGGCATCAGTGCAGATGCAGAGAGGCTCCCGATTGTCCACTGCAAACAGCCCTGCCCATCTCTTCGGCCCATCAATCTAGTGGTTTCTCCATGGCATTTACAATACTGGAAATGACCTTGCTTCTTATGTTTGTTGACTGACAAATGCTCCCGACTGTTGAAGATAAGGTGTGTGAATGGAGCAATTGGGAGCCACGTCCCGGGGTGTGGGAGGTGCTCGGTATAGACCATCGAGGAGAAGGAGCAGATGGTGCATTTCTTTAAGGGCCCAGGTGGTCATGCCTCTAAAGAGGGATGTTAGTGGGCACCTGTGAGCAGAGGCCACAGTGGGCTGGCCTGGCTTGGCTTGGCTACCGTGTTCTCTTGAGCCACCTTGAGCAGAATGTCCTTGAGGGGCAGCTGCTCTGGGCACTGGCATGAGACGTGGGGCTGACCTGAAGCCCAGGCTCCTTGGATCCCAGCC